TTCCTGCATTTCCCATGAATATGCTAAATTCCTCGTGATATGCAAATTCATTTGTCAATGCGCCCAGCTTATATATATGCTCCAAGCTCGTGTGCTGCTTCATTCAGACTCTGTCGCCTCGACGGGCCTGGTTTTCACCTGAGGACGGCTGCTTGCGTTGTGGCCGAAACGTCGTGAAAATTATTTTATTATGTTTTATTTTTATTATTTTATTACTTCCCTTCTACGTGACTTTACCGAAAGAACCAAGAAGAAGTTTTACACAATGAAGAATCAATGAATGGTAGTGATGAGAACTGATTTTACAACAGCAAGCTGGAATTGTCTCATTCTGCTGGAAGGGTGGATCTTTAAACGGAATACAATCGTTAATAGAACTGCATTTCACGAGTGAACTTAAGCCCCATTCCGGCTCCTTCCTCCACCATCAACTAGCTTTTAAGCTCGTCAAGTTTACGAATGACAGGACAGATTAGATATTTTACACCACCTCCCACCACCCCCACTGGATTGGAGTGGTGATACATTTTTTTCGTCACAGTTATTTCTAGCCGAGGACAAAAGCTATTGGTCATAATTAACTCAATATCATTACCGCATGTTCCTCATTCTTTCTGATCAGAAATTAGTCCCTCTCAGAACTCTGGACAACATAAATTACCCGAGTAGTTTCTGTGACTGACTCGTTGACCCACAGATGGGCGAGTAAAGTTTCTTATCACGCAGATGCTTCAATAAATTGCTGACTAAATACAAAATTACGATCGCAATTACGGCGTTTGCTTACTGTCGCCGAGCAAAGAAATGTCTCGTCCTGCTGGCTGAACAGCCATCGGGAAGCTCTCGTTGTTTCGGGCAGCTACCCTTCGTGAGGAAGCATCCGCAATATTACGTAAACCTTGTTACGATTTTTTTTTTTTTACGAAATCGTTATTCATTGCGCGTGTTCGGCGAAGCAGCAACTCTCTTTGCGCACGCGTTCATAGTTCCGAAGGGGAAAAAAAAGGCGGCAGTCGATTGTGCGATATGAAGAGCGACGGTGAAGCGAGTCGGACCGTCATTATCATCAGCTTAGTGCCATCTTGGCTCCGCTCTTTCCGCTCCCCATGCGGCTTTCCCTTCCCCAGAGCCAAATCTCCCACCCACTCTGTGGATCATTGAAATTCACTGAGAGCCAGTGGTGAGCGTCCAAGATAATAATCATCATCAGCCATGGTCAATCCGCTGCTGGATGAAAGCCACCAAAAAACTCCCCCCTCCCCCACCGCAATCTTGCGCTTTGAACACAAACGGGTTTCCTTCGCTCCATCTCCACGATGGACGGAAAACTCCTCCACGCAATTTCCATCCGAGTGGACGGAGCAGAGATGATACGAGTCTTTTTAAACTATTTTTAATGTGCATCGTCGCTTTGCATGAACACCCACGGAAAGCCGTTGTACGAGTAACAAATACGAGCTTTTTCGAAGGCATGGCGTGAATAGGAACACGTTAGATCATTGCTAATCACGATAGGACTTTTTTTTCTTGCAGGATGATTCATAGAAAGTAGTTTATATGCAGAATTATAAGGTAGCACATGCACTGACAGTTTCATTAGTGCCTCGCTCGGTTATTCATAGCATCATAGTCCATGGGATGTCTGCGACAACAATTTCCCAATGCAAATTGTATTGCTAATAAACGAGCGTAATGATGCGCTGTTACGGTACAGTACTACACCCTTTCCAAAGCTTCACTGCATCTGCAGTGTGCCCGGTTTACGAATAGACATGGTAATGATGTCCCATTTCCCAATAGAAATGTCTGATTGGAAATGGGCATTGCGTAATAAGTACGCGTGTTCTGCGAGCCTGTGGGCGCGTGCACGCCTGCCCGTTGCGTGTGTCATCTTCTTCTTCGGCAGAACGCATGCACATAAAAGAACTGTCCGGATGACTCAAAAATGTTTTGTTAAGGAGCGCTCACGCCATCATAATGGGAATATTCCAAAAAAAACTCTGAATTCTCTTGGCAAATAACGATGAGAGCGGTGTCCATTACGATTCTTTTAAACAATACAGCGATGGGACAAAGACACGAAAGGTTTTTTTTTTTGGCAGGACATTCAGTCTACTAATCAATATATGCATGCACCTATAGGAGAATATGCAAATCAGACACACAAAGACAAAGATCCCCGCATAGAGTTTGCAGACTGTAGGGGCAAGTGCTGTTAACTCGTGCCTATGAAGACCGGCACGGCACACGAGGGGGTGGGTGGCCAGCACCACGCCCGGCCGCCTTTGTCTCCCTAGTGGCGATATTTACACACCGCGCCAGGTACTCATTTGAGGCCGAGTCGATCTAGGGGAGGCCAAGGACCGGTGTTGGTCGTGAGTGCGAATTGAACTCGGCGAACCACTACACTACCGCTCTCCCACACAAGACGCTGTCATGTCGCACGCACACAAAGACCCCCCCCGTAACACACACACACACTAGCTCACACACACACCCTATCTCACACACACACACACTAACTCACACACACACACTAACTCACACACACACACTATCTCACACACACACACTATCTCACACACACACTATCTCACACACACTACACACTATCTCACACACACTATCTCTCACACACACACACTATCACACACACACTATCTCACACACACACACTATCACACACACACACTATCTCACACACACACACACGCTAGCTCACGCACACACAATTTTAAACCGAATCCGTGTGTTTGCAGCCGCGAATATACACAGTTAAGTGCATTGCGGCCAAACCCGTTTAATGTACAGTACAATCACGTATATATATCACTTATCCGACCTCCCTGGACGCAGCATCACAGATGATTCGCAAAGCTGAGCAAAGCATACACGCAAGGCTTGCGACAGCAATTTTAAACACCACGTCCCCCACAAGCAAGCAGAAATAACAGCAACAGCTAGCAACAATCCTGCCACCCTCTATTCAGCAGATATTTTTTTTTCTTGCGTTGGCTTCATATATAATGTATGCACAGGAGTGTGTGTGTGTGTTGGTACATAGGTGTGTGTGAGTGGGGAGCGGTGGTGTAGTGGTTAGCGCGCTGCACTACGAACCTGGCGCCCCGGGTTCGATTCCCGCTCACGGCAAACACCAGTGACGATTATCTGAACCGGTCCTGGGCCTCCCCTATGTCGACTCAGCCTCAAATGAGTACCTGGTGCGGTGTGTAAACATCGCCGCTAGAGAGACAAAGGCGGTCGGGCGTGGTGCTGGCCACCCACCCCCTCGTGTACCGTTCTGGCCTTCATAGGTCCTCGCTAACAGCACTTGCCCCTACAGTCTGTGAAGGCTATACGGGGGATCTTTGTCTTTATCTTTTGTGTGTAGGTGTGGGTATGTATATGTGTCTGCATGTGTGTGTGTCGTCGGTGTGTTTGTGTGGTGCTTGTTGGGTCGGAGTCAACGCGATGCGCTCCGAGCCCGGCGACCCGAGTTCGATTCCCGCTCACGACCCAACGCCGGTGACGATTATCTGAACCGGTACTATGCCTCCCCTAGGTCGACTCAGCCTAAAATGAGTACCTGGCGCGGTTTGTGAAATCGTCGACACTGGGGAGACAAAGGCGGTCGGGCGTGGTGCTGACCCACCCACCCAATCGTGGACCGTGTCGGCCTTCATAGGCGCTCGCTAACAGCACTTGCCCCAAAAGTATGTTAAGGCTACACGGGGGGTCTTTATCTTTGTTTATCTGTGTGTGTGTATGACCATATGTCTGCGTGGTGTTATTTATGTCCGCCTGTGTTGGTCTGTGTGTATGTATGTGTCTGCATGCGAGTGTTTTCTGTACATCAGCATGCGTCTGTGTATTTGTTCCTGTCACTTTATATACCTGTGTGTGTGTTTGTTTGTCTGTCTGTATGTATGGGTCTGTAGTCATGTGGCCTTCATATGTGGTGGTCGCTAACAGCACTTGCCGCAAAAGTATGTTAAGTCTACGCGGGGATCTTTGTCTTTGTATCCCTGTACTTGTTTGTGTACGTCTGTGTGCTTTTGTATATCTTTCCTATGTTTATTTTAAAGTTTTTTTTCATGTGTGTGTCTGCATGCATATGTCTGTGTTGTTCTGTGTGTGTGTCTGCACGTGTGCGTGTGTGTCCACGTGGCTAGCTCTGTATCTGCGCGTGCATTTCTCTTCGTGTTTCAGTTAGTGCATGAGTGTTTTTGTGTATTTGTCCGTGTGTTTCTGTCTTTCTATCTGTATGTTCCTGCAATGTCTGTCTTGGGGTGTAGGCGTTTGTGTGCACGTGTTTATCTGTACGTATGTCTTCCGTATAGATGTTTGTCTCTCATTGTATGTTGATTTAAATGCACGTGTTTGACGTGTCTCTATGTTTCTGCATGTCTGCCTGTGTACGTGTGCAAATATTTAGTGTATATATCCACGTGCTTGTTTCTAGTGTCTAGTTGTCCGTGTGTATATGTTTGCATGGCTTGTATGTGGGGAGCGGTGGCGCAGTAGTTAGCACACTGTGCTACAAAACCAGTGAACCAAGTTCTATTCCAACTCACGACCAATAACAGCGGTGAAAATCTGAACCAGTTCTGGGCCTCCCCTAGGTCGACTCAGCCTCAAATAAGTACCTTGTGCGATGTGTAAACATCGTGACTCGGGAGACAGAGGCAGCCGGGCGTGGTGCTGGCAACCCACCCCCTCGTGTGCCCTCCCGGCCTTCAAAGGTGCTCGCTAACAGCACTTGCCCCAACAGTCCGTGTCAGACTATACGGGGGAGCTTTGTCTTTGCATGCCATGCATGGGTGTCCGCGCGTGCATTTCTGGACGTCCAGCCGACGTTCCCGTGCGCGTGTGCGTCCGTGTCCACACGCGTGCCCGTTAACTCGAGTCAGTGGCATGCAAATACGACGAAGCGAGAACGTCAGCTGCGTCGAAGTGATGCGCTTTGAATTGGAGACAGAATGGAACGAGATGACCCTTACCTGCCGTCGGGCCACGCACGTCTTGAGAAGCACTGAGGAAGGCCCGCTGCTTGACAGAGGTGTGTTCTTTCCACTGCTGTGAATCTCAGTGCCCTGCGTTCAACGATGAGACATGAAGAAAGGGGTGGGTGGGGATATTTATTTATGAGCAAATTGTTGAAGCTGTTGCCAGCTGTCACACGGTCGTCCCTGCCGTCTTCAACGCGCTGAGCTGAACACGTCCGGGCATCACTCGTCCTGGAGCAACTTCTCTGCGACCGGGACGAGACGCTGTCCCGTCACCAATAAACCATCTCAAATAGCCGAGCAAAAAATATTCATATAATAACCACAGAAAACTGTTACGCGCCAACTGAATACATTTGGCGGCACGGCTCAACAGCACGCACGGCATTGAGACAATTACAGCTACACCGCTTAACTATGCACACACATGCGCCGTATGCATGCGCTGTTTGTGTGTGTGTCCATATGCCGAATATGTCTGTCTTTTATTTAAGAGCTTGGTACTGCTGCCGTGGTGTTCCTCTGCTCCCCATCTACCTCTCCCTTCTCTCTCTCTCTTCTCTCTCCCTTCTCTCTCTCTATGCTCTCTCGCTCTCTGTGGCAAACTCGACTGTGGAGCTCTTCCCCCTTCCCAGGCAGCTGCCAGGATACTGGGAGAGGAGAGACCATTGGGGGCCGTACTTGTTGGACGAGGAGCGGACCGATGCGCAGCGCCGAACCCGAGGTTTTGGAGCTCTCTCCCAACCCAGAGGCGAAATCCGTACGCGTGTGTGGGAGAGAGCGAGCGAGCAGGCGTGTGTGTGTGTGTGAGAGAGAGCGAGCGAGCGTGTGTGTGTGTGGTAGAGAGAGAGCGAGCGTGTGTGTGTGGGAGAGAGAGAGCGAGCAGGCGTGTGTGTGTGTGTGGGAGAGAGCGAGCGAGTGTGTGTGTGTGGGAGAGCGAGCGAGCGAGCGTGTGTGTGTGTGGGAGTGGAGCTGTCATTGGCTGATCGTGCGGAGAGAGAGGGTGCCTGGCTGTCACAGTGCTCAGCTCCGAACAGCACATGTGCCCAGATGGTGGAGAGTGTGGCGATCTTCTGTTACAATTAGAAGCTGTGTGTGTGTGTGTTGGTGGTGGTGGGTAGATATGTATGTTTAACACAGAGGCTTTCTCGAACAATATCATCCATAATACAGGTTTTTTTGGGGGGTTAGATGGCGTAAATGTGTATATGTGTCGGTAAAACCCGCCACCACCCGACACAGCCATTTAGTGAGGGTTGTCACGTAACAGAACGTGCCGATTCGTTACTAGCACAGCACACCGGTGTGTTTGAGATCGATTACTCTCCAACACACCAGTGTGCTGAACTAGTAACGAATTGGCATGTTTTGTTTACGTGACAAACCTCACTAATTGGCTGTGTCGGGCGGTGGCGGGTTTAACGACACATTTATATATTTACGCGATATAACCCCCCAAAAAACTTCTATTATGGTAGATATGTATGGTTGCATGAGCTTATGTAATAGCATGAATTAACCGTTGCAACGTCTTTTGTTGAACCCCACACTCTGCCAATCAATCATGGTGGCCGTTTGACCATACTTAACCACGTTGGTCAGTGAAAATTAGGGAAATGAGGGGGAGGTGATTAACCGGTTCAGATATCAATCGCCACTGTTTTTACCCGTAGCCAGGTATCCAACTCGGGCGGCAGAGTTCACTGGGCGGTGCGCAAACCACGGCGCCGCCACTCCACCACATATCTTTGAGCGCCTGCACGAGTGGCTGGTGGCACGTGTGCATCAGTGCACGTGAGAGCAACACGTGTACAGCTATTTCGTCATTCTGCTGCTGGACGAGGGCCTCTCCAGTCCGTGTGCGTCTTGGGGGGTTATTGGACAATTATTTCATCGCGCTGGTCAGCGAGGGTTGGTGACAAATTTGGAACGTGAGCATGGAAGTACAGCACAACAGTGGAGTTTGTTAAGCTGGTCAATGCTGGTAACACAGTCCTGCAGCAGCCTACAACACAGATGTGTGCATGGTGGTCTCCCATTCAAGCCCTGTCCAGTTTCAAACTTGCTCAGCTTTTACAATATATCGAGATCGGATCGATCCCGAGTGATTTGGTCATAAGCTGAATGCTTGTTTACGTGTGAATCTTGATCCAGTTATGAGGATGTTTATCTCTGAGTGTACAGATGAACGGTACTTGTTTTGTTAATGAGAGTATATGTATTAAATATCGGCGATTGTAATATGTTAACATAATGTTAGTGAGTGGATGTGTAGCGGTTAGCGCGCTGCGACAAATCAGGCGACCCGAGTTCGATTCCTGCTCACGGCCAACATCAGTAACAATTATCTGAACATGTCGTGAACTTATCCAGTTCTACTCAGCCTCAAAGGTATACCTGTTGTGATGTGTAAACATCGCCACGTTCATCGGTTGCTCGCTCACAGTACTTCCCCCAAAAGTCCTTTGAAGCTATAATGGGGATATTTGTCTTTGATGTCTATATACATGTGTGTATATAAGTATGTATGATCGTATCTGTCAATGCAGATTAATATCATTGAAATATGACTATTAGGGAATGGCTGGGACCATAGCTGCACGCAAATTGTGTAAATAACAGAACAACTTGAATAATGTTAACGGTATGCATACGAAACACCGATATAAATGTAATAATTTATGTCTCCATCGTCTTAAAACCAACCTCACATGCCCCCTCTTCCCCGTTTAAAATCCAGTGCAGAATACTTCGTAGATTAATTTAGTTTTGACTGCTCCAAATATCTATATATTGTTATATAGACTAACTTACAGTCTAATGTATGTTCACGAACCTCCCCCCCCCCGCCCACCAACACCTCCGCATTTGTTCTCCCTAAAACAGACACCAGGCAAAAGAGGAGAAACCATTCTCCGCTTTATCCACAGATCAAAGGGGTTCCACGTGGCTCCCACGGACAAACGCGCAACGGGTGCGCGGTGTCTGATTGGCTATTTTCGCCGGCCATAATGTACACACACACAAAAAAATGGTGCAAGCCGGTCCCGAAAAAAAAACATTGAAATTCCGCGTGCGTCCTACACGCGCGCCTTCCCCGATGCGCCTTGCAGTTCCGTGTTGCCCGCATTGGGTGGAGCTGTGTTCTGCCTTGTACGCCTGCGTCCAGCTATGAATATTGCTGGCGGGGGGGGACCTATGATTACATTGAAAGGCTTGTTATGGCAGCTTCCCCTGAGACTGGCATTCGCCGCTGTTGTAATATTAATTTCTGCAAAGTGTCGCTTGCACAATTTAAACGAGGCGTCTCTCCCCCCCCCCCGCCCACCTTACGCCAGAAGGCCGTTTCGGTCGCACTCTTAGATCAGCGGGGAAGCTGAACGTCTTTCGTGGTATCCAAGGGGGGTGTTCGAAATCAGGAGGGGCGAAGGTTTCCGGGTTGCTATGATCCCGTCGTATCAGGAATGCTGACACAAGTTTCTTCTTTCAGAGTCACATTTTTAAAACGAGTACGTTTGCATGAGTGTATTGTTTGACTGGATTAATTTGTCAGTGGTTATGATATTTTTCATTGTAAATTGCCCTTGGATCTTCTGTATTAAGAGCACTATATAAAAGCTAAGTGTGATATATATATGCAGTATATAAAAAATACAAAAGTAAAATAAGATGTTTTTTGGGCACAATTAAAATATTTAGATTACGTCTTTGCAAGGTTTGTTACCTAATTATTATCAACAACCCAAAGACGAATCACCCAAGAGCCAAAGAGCCTTAACCAAATGTGAACTATAACAACTGTAAACTATTAAACTATAAAAATATATATACATGTAAAATCTATCAAAACTAAAATAGTACACGCGGGGACATCTTGGGAAATGATTCTCAAGGCCCAGAAGGGCATTTCCTTGGAAAGCAAACCCACCAACAATAATAATAATAATAAAAAGTTAATTACACCCCAACGTACGCTCATGTGCAATGTCCTTCCCTATATTCAATTAATGTGCCCTCTATTTTCTACCTTTTATTTTACTTTGATAATCGTCCACTCATTGTACATTGCGTATATTTTATACAAGCCTAGACCTCATTATAAAGCAAAACACCCCACCATAGGAATGTGGAATTTCCACCGACGACTGAGAGCTTCCAACAGATGTTGTCATTGGAGCAGGCAGAGACCCCACGACGTTGACTCCACCGCACAGCCGACAAAGCTTGGACAAATTTGAAAGCAAAATCTGTACGCGTAATTAGCGCTTGCCTTCTGTGTGGAAGTCTTATATTAATTATATGAATCCGACGAGGGTTAAACAAAATACAAAAAAAACACTTCCCTCCAACAGTAATTATGCAGGAGTTCTGTGCAGTGTGGAATTAGTGCGCGGATTGCCCAAAGGGACCGTACATTGTACCGTAAATATCTGAGCAAAGCGGTATGTTGGTTCTATCAGTAGTTTACCCCTCATGAGCAAGGTGGTAACGCTTTCCCGGCTAAAAGTAATTATTCATCGGGAGCGTTTGTGTCTACAGCTTTTTGGCACAAGCAATCCCATCCGAGGTTTGTTAGCCTTGCTCTAACGGTAAACACATTGGGACTTGGAGTTCAAAGGTCTTCTGGATCCATCTCCCTGAGTGGCAGGTTAAAACTACAGGGCAAGGTGTTTATTTTTATATATATATATATGTTTTTTTTTCCTTAGCTCTGTCCACCCAGCAGCGTAAATGGTTCCATGGGCAGCTAGTCGTCCGATCGCTTGTGGTAGGTTAAAACGTGGGTACTCCCACCAAATTCGAGGCGTAGAGGCCAGCGCTTGCTTGCTTGTGCCTGTTGTCTGCACGGATGCGTAACGTTATGCCCTCTAGTGGGGCACTGTAGACTTCAGGGCAGAGGTGTGAGCAGGGGAATTGGAGGGGTGGAACAGTCGTCACCATCACATTTGAAACACACTGGAAGCGTTCACGGTCGCGATGTTGCAACAATAATGTCCTAAGTGTTACATCTCCCATTTTTTATGGGTTCGTCTGCAAGCCACTCCGGGTTTCCACTCACTTGAAAAAAAAAAAACTCCAATAATGGATTTGCGCAAACATTTCAGGACCCTCGTGAAAGATTGCCGAGGCTCAGCGATGCTTTCCTGGACGTATAAATTGTCACATCATTTGTATTATTATTATTACGTCCAATCTGAAAGCAGTGAATCAGAGCCAAGCAAACGTGATTGAAAACATGATCCACAAACCCATTGCATTACCAGCCCCTGCACCCAGAGACTCAATGAATAATCGCGATTAGTATCATAAATCAACATTCCCGACAGTGGTATCACCTCCAGTGGCTGTAGATGTGACGTTAATCCATTATGTGTACATATAAAACACCGAGTTTTCCCGGTATAGCCTTAACAGACTGTTGAGGCAAGTGCTGTTAGCGAGCACCTCTGAAAGCCCCACTGTGGCACACGAGGGGGTGGGTGGCCAGCACCACGCCCAGCTGCCTTTATCTTCCGAGTGATGATGTTTTCACATCGCAATAGGTACTCATTTGTGGCTGAGTCGACTCAGGGGAGACCAGAAACAGGTTCCAATATATGTCATTGGTGTTTGCCGTGAGCGGGAATCGAACTCGGCTTTGCTGGGTTCGTAGTGCAGCGCGCTAACCGCTACCCACAGTACATACGACAAGGACACACACATTGTTAATTGGAGTTAAAAAATAACTCACTAACACACACCTTGTGAAAGACCCGACATAGACGATAACTGGGTTTCATCTTCCACGAAGTTCATGGTCCACCCTAAATCGCATCAGCACAAACCATGGCAGATGTGCACACTTGATGCACAATGGGGGGAAAAATCTCTCCAGTGT